GTTTTGATGAATCACCTTTTCCTGCTTTTGTAGTTGCGCCCAGGAGAAGAAAGATTTTTTTTTTTTCTTTTGTGTGTGCATGTGTGAGTTTAGTTTTTGCATTAGTTGTACATTCTGGAAATAGAACCAACTCTGAAAAATAGCTAAAATGCTCTAATATTGATTCTTATTGCTAAACAAATACTTGGAAGTCCCTTGGGAGTAATTATGTTGTTGTCATAATTGCTTGAACTTTACTTTTCACAGTGAGGCAAATGGTTCTCTGATTTTGTGTTATTTCTAGCAAAGTAAATGCATAGCGGATGTTTAAGCTAGACATCAGAATCTTCACACTGGTGTTTCATGAGTATAAAATTCGTGTTCCCCACACTATTTCCAAGTACAGTGCATCTTTTGATTTTAACTAGGAAAATTAGCATTTAGAGACCAGACATTAAAACAGTTTCATTTTTGGTGCCAGGTGCTACCAGTGGTCACATACTGTTTTCCCCACACCTTTCCTTAGCACCTTTCTGAGGGTCTTTGGTGTGTTTCCTTTCACTGTCCAAGGTGGTATGGAGCAGTAAAGGCAGCATATGTTCAGTCAGTACTAGAGGCTGCTTTCACTGATTTATTTTTAACTTTCAGTTCTCTCTTGACTTAAGTATTTGCTCTGGGAAGAAACTATTACCTAATTTTAAATTGTGCACATTTAACCTCTAAGCTACCATAATGAGTATTTATTTATAACAGAGTAGCTGTACACTAGCATACTTTTCACGTGTGTCCTGTTGAGCCTGGACTTATATTTCTGACTTTTCATAGATGGCATACCATAATTTAGACAGTTTCCTTGCTTGTTAATTTGGAAAGATGTAGTTTTTTTTTTTACAGTCACATTTCACAGTGGTCAGTTTTAATGAAAGAACTATCTGCTTAAATAGAACTAACTGGGTTTGAATTGTTGGTCCACACATTTTCACAGGTTTTTCTAGCTCGTAGTTTCCCTGACCTCTTGTGTCTCCTTTTCTAAAACACAATAAATAGTTCCTATTATGCTAGATTGTATCCTTGAGATCAAAGATTTCTCCTGTTTACTTTTATGTCCTCCAGCACCTAGAACAGTATATGCCTAATGGTAGGCCTGAAAAACATGTTAAAATTCAGCAAGATAATGCGTGCAATGCATTTAATTCAATGCTAGGAACAGAGTAACAATAAATGCGGGGAGGCATTTTTCAGAGCTTTTTTAAAAGCTCTTAAGATTACTGTCAGTGATGCTTAAAAGACAGCCACTTTTTAAAATGTCTTTTGCAGAAGAAATGTTGGCCTCAGAAAATACTCCTTAGAATGAAATAAAATTTGTCCTCTTTCCATTTAGTAGCCAGCTAATTTTTCTTAATGGAAATTCATTAAGACGTGTTTAAATCAAACTGAGATGTGATAACTTTTCTTCTTTTAATTTTTCCAACAAGAAATATTTAAAGCTTTATTTTCTAGTTTGTTCTCATTCTAAGAGAAAAAAAGCACTATTTATTTCATTCAACTGGTCTAAATAATAGTTTAGAAAGAAGCATATTATTTTTCTATTTAAATTTCCATATGGATTTTTATAGGGTTATTATGAGTGCTGTACAATTTTAGAGCAAAAGTCTTAGAAATCATCTCATTTTGCATAGCATTTTATCTTTTTTTAAAAAAGTTAATATAGGAAGAGAAGTTAAACTGTTCTAGCTAGTGACAAAGGCAAGATATAAAATAATTCCTTGTTTTTGACCAGGTTTAGGTTTTCTCCCTTGTTAAAAATATAAAAATAAACAAAACTTTATATATATGATATATATATACATATATAATAAACAAAACTATAAATATACATACATACTCTTTATTTCTGTCATTTTCAAGTCTTTGCAGAGATTACAAGGCTAAATTTTTAGCTACACTGTTGGAAAAAAATTCTGTACATAACCTGTTCTGATGAAATAAAAGTTAATTTAGTTATATCCTCCATAATAGCAACATGTTAGCAAATTTGATTGGTTCTGTTGAACATATTAGAGAACTTTTAAAAACTAGTCTTCATTTTATTCAAAGTGAATTTGTGAGAGTATATTTGTTATTTATACTCAAAACTTCTCAGATGGCTATGTCAATTAGTGTAATGAAAGTGTTTTTTAAATTTGAATGACTGCCTTGATATATTTTAATGTAATTAATATAAAAATGAAAGGTCAGGTAGCATTTTCAGTTGGCAGGTTCTTCTATTGTAATGCCTTTTTTTTAATGGTACTGTCCATTTCTTACTCGTTTTTACTCATGTCAGCAGGTTAAATAGCAGTATTGCTATTGTAAAATGTATTCTCATTTTACCCACAACCATAAATTCTTGAAAATGGAATTATGCAGCCTTCAGTCTCCTAATACACAATGATTTGCATGAGTGTTTTAATGTCCAGTCATATCACTATACTACTCTCGTAGAGCTGTTTAAAAAAGTCACAATATTTTGGGGGCAATAATAATCACACATAGCTGTCATGGAGTTTAAAAAAAAAGGTTTTAGGAAATAATTATATCTTCATTATGTTTGAAACATTGAAAACATATCACTACCTTTAAATGTGTTGCAAATTTTCCTGAGCACATAAACTTTTAGGCCTTCGAGAGGATCAGTCAGTTAGGCCATAATAGGGCTGCATGTCTTTGCTCAATGTCGCTAAAGGAAAAAGCCTGTTCAGAGTTGGAGGGGCATGTTAGGAAGCTCATTAGAGGGAGATTAGAGCCTCCCTCCTAAGCCTATGTTCAGCAGTTAATTATGAATTTATTTTTTTAATTGTTGTACAGACACAAACTTATCTTCTCATTATACTCTCATACATGTATCAGTGAAGTGAGTAGCATACTTGGCTTTACATTTTAATATACGTTCAGGATATTTGTAGTTTCCATATGGAAATAAAAAACTCCATGTATGAGGTATTAAGATGTTCATTATTCATAATGTGGGAGAATCAGTGTCTACACCTAAAATAACAATGTTAACGGGATATATAACATTTTATAATGACCTCCAGCAGCTTACTAGAAGAGGCTTTTTTATACATCAAAATTTTCTATAAGTGTAATAGAATTCCTATCATTTTTCTTCTCTCTTCACTTGTGGGTCGTCACCAGTGAGTTCAGTTTGTATTGCAGTGAAGGTGTTATGCTCAGGCTAATCTCTGTAAAATGCTAGCATTTGTTCTTCTTTTTCTCTATCATCAATCTTTCACACTCATATCAAACCCCTAGTGTATCAGCAGGTTTCCCAGAGCTACTGGTTAAAATTACCTTTGCTTTTGGTAAACTCTGAACCTTTGAGCCTCACTGTTTTCAGCTGCCCCCTGTGGATTCCGTGAAGCCTCTCTCCACACATTCCTCACTGCTAGTCACTTGCTTTATGTCCAAAACCAGGAGCCTGTGCAGAGCCTGTTCATTACTTTACCTGTACCTGCCACTCTTCTCTAAATGGAGTGTGCAGATAATTGGTAATGCATGTGCAAACTACAAGTGAAAGTGGCTAGAACTCTCACATCTCAGTACCTTGTGTTTATTCAGTCTAGCTCCAAGTTTCTTTCCTTTTCTAACAGCACAGAAATTGGCCATTTTATTTGTATTTAAGGTAAATGCTAAGTTAAATAATTTCTTAAACTTTGTTTCCATTCATATCTGAGTATGTAAATATCTTGTTTGCATACTTTTTTCATTTTTATTCATTTTCATAAATACTTCCCTTCCATTTGACTATGACTATTAGTAAAAATGGATTCCATTAGAGGTAGGATTTCTTGGGTATGTGGTTGATGCTGTTTTCACTTTTTAGCACAGTACAGTTTCACTCCACAACTATTCTGTAGCTTGTAACTATTCTTTTAGAAAGCTAACTTTTGCCTTTAAGGGTAGTACTTCTAATTATTGGTGTGACTCCTTATATTGTCTGTTTAACAATTCCTGTACCAATTATGGATTTAGTCTCATTAAGATTTATAATAAATACCTGAGGAGATTCTTGAAATTAATAAAGAGAATGTCCTCTTCTGCAGGAGAGACAGCTTATTTTTAGTAGCTTTTGCCCTAAGATTCCCAAATATTGTTCTCAAATCTTGATTTTCTGCTTGATGAAAAGCTTTATGCTAATTAACAATTGTGCAGTAATAGCTAACTATATGTATAATTAAAGATATTCACTTTAAAAATCACTTAAATATTTTCACCCACCAAAATGTAATGCATATGCTTTTATCACATTTCTAGCAACTAATGTATTTCTTAAAATGACAAGAGAAAAATTATTGTACTTAAAAGCATCTTACTACAGCAAGGACTGACTCTTTCATAGAGATGTCAGTGCCCTTTCACATTATATAACCTATATAATCTTTGATGCAAAAAAGCCTCCCTATTTCTTTCTAACTAGGAGTAACTGAGGCATCAGTGTTAACAATTCCATCATTTGTCATGTCAGTAGCCAGGCTCATGTTCTAAGAGATGTTTCTGTAAAAGCTAATAATTATGAAATATTCACATATATTTCTGAATTGCCATAAAATTGCCACAAAACATTGTGAAGTATTATAAATATTGTAAGTTATTATTATGAAACTCAATTATTTGGGTGATGCAACCCATATTTTTAAAAAAGATTGAGCCAATATGAGTCATTTAGGTAAAAAAGTGATATCTTATTAGAAATCCTTCTATTTTTCCTTTCGTTATGTTTCCTAAATTCTCCCTGGACTGTTCAAAAGGAATAAATTAAAGTTTAAACCACCACACCCTTTTTCTTATAATATAGATGATAATATGCTCTGTAAAGATCAAAGAGAAAGGGAAAAATTAAAAGTTTTAAGTGCTCTGAAAAACAACTTCCTGAACCTAATGATTTTTGGTGATACTTTAATCTAAAATTTTATATGTAATTTCTTGCCGCAACTGTATCTTCATTTTATATTTCTTGTTGTATTTGGCTTATTTTTTAGTGGGTACACCTTATTACATGTCTCCAGAGAGAATACATGAAAATGGATACAACTTCAAATCTGACATCTGGTCTCTTGGCTGTCTACTGTATGAGGTAGGTAATGTTGATAAAAATCCCTATTTTGATATGTTTTTACATAATTTTCTCCATTCTTATAGTGTAGACTTTTTCTCATTAATATTTAAGAATAAGATTTAAATTATGAAGATTAACTCATTGAGTTGTTAATTTTCATATAGAATTTAATAATTCTTACACATTTACTTCCCCTATTTTTAAATTGTGTTCTGTTCCTGAGAATTTTAAAATGCTAATTTTTATGTTAATATAATGCTCTTCTGTGTATTTATAAAAATATACATTTGAGCATCTGTGAAAAAGCTTCCCAGTACACTACAGAATAAGAAGGATAATGAAATGGAATTAAAATATGAAAGTATAGTAAATCTTTATTAGTGTTTTATTTCACATTTTACATAGGTGTACTTCATCTTTAAAGATAATATACAAATAGATAATGACTTTAAGTTACTGCTTAGTTTAATTTCCATTAATAATTTTTATTGGTAAAGCTCAGGGAACTATTCGCTTTTTCCTGTTCTTAGGAGATAATGGAATCACTTAAGATGATCTTCTAGAAATTTTTCAGTACAATAATTTGGATCCTTAGAAAACATAATACTAACAAGTTTTTATCCATGTTACAAAGCAAGTAATATTAAAGAATATCTCAAAAAGTGACTTCTGTAATTTTATCTTTTAATCAAAGGTAGAAAAGAATATATACTTTAAGCTAAAGTTGTTAACTAAAAAAAATAATCTACATCTAAGTAGGTTTAAATAAACTGAAGAAACAATAGACTCATCTTCATGTCTCTGTAAGGAAACCTATAGTGGATGGATAGAAACCAATGTATTTCTTACTATTTTGTGTCTCTGTCCTCCTAACTTAAAAGGTATGATCAGGTTATCTATTTTAATTGGCTACCATTACTTGGAAGTAGACTATTAGGAAGTGCTTTTTTTTTTTTCTTTAACTGGTTGTTATGATTTTTTATTGTTTTGCTGATTATAGATTCTGATTTAAGAGACTTGAAATTATTGTATTGTTCTTACTAAAGTGAGTAATGAATAAAAGATTTTTAAATGTTCTTACATAAATTCATCTCAATTTTTATGAAAAATAATGCTGTAACAAAATTTCTATGTAGATTCAAGATTATAAATGATTAATGCTCACTATATTCTGCTAATATTTTGATATAATGTTACAAATGATTGGCTTGATAATATTAAATTATTAATTTTTAAAAAGTTACTTTGCATATTGAAAATTTTTAATACTGTTTAGGTAATCTCAGGCTCTTTCAGGTCATAATCTAATATTATCAAAGCAACACTTTCCCTTTGACTACCAAAGAGTATACGTATAAACTAATAGCAAATTAGTTTCCAATAATAAGATTAAATTTAACAGTGAAAACTGTTCAGCTGAGGTGCTGTTTTGGGAGGAAAGTTTGTTTTAGGATTAGATTCAAATAATTTTTCATATTCTAAATTTGCCTTTGAGAAGCAGTATCCCATTTTATGTGTGCTTAAAAGTGATCACCAAAATAAAATTTTTTCAGACACTCCTACACTCATGACTTAATATATTGTTGATCATTTTGAGTAAAAATACTCATCAAGGTAGCATTATTTTTAGTCTCAATGCATTTTCTCATTTCCTCCATGCAAGACAAGAATTGTTCTAAAGATTTAATTAATCTTCATGTTTATCTCCCTTCAGTCATATTTGAATGTAATATTAATAGAAATACCCAGCAATTTAGCTTTTAAAAATCAGCAATAACATCACAATTCGTTTTATACTTGTCCAGTAAGAAATTACTACTAGCAGCAGAAGAATAGAAGCCTTTTTTGAAAATGCATTTTAAACTCAAAATTAGACTTTCAAATATTCCTGGAACCTAAAAAAAACTAGCAGTACAGTTTTAATTGATATGCAACAAAGTAGACTTTACTAATTAAAATCAAGATGCTGTGCTTTTGCTACATGGACCTTTACATGGAAAAGTAGGTTTTACACATTTCCTTTATTGTTCAGCACAGCAATTGCATCCTTACAGGGTTGTAGGTTGGTGGCTTACAGTTCAAAAAAAAAAGAGAGCTGCCACCAGCCCCGAAGACAGACAGTGGGCTTTCGTCCCTTCGACACCCCCAGAATACTAATCAGGAAAGTCAGACCCTGGAGGTCAGAGAGCAAGTCAATCATTCTAGCAATCGTCTCAGTGTGGAGGATCAAATTAGCCTGAAAAATTCAGCTGCTGGGAGGAGAGGGCGAGCAGCTGTCAGGGGCAGCATCGAGATGCACTAATGAACCAGATGAATAGTGCAAAAGCTTGAAAATAAAAACAGGACAGTTGACATTTTTCATCTGTCAAAGCAGGAGATGCATGAAAATATACTATTCCTGTTTAACTCCTTAGGGGACATTCAGATTTTTTTTAACATTCTGCAGTATTCAGAGAAAAGTAGTATGATGAAGTAGCATATGATGATAATGTATACATACACACATTACTTAAGATTTTACAAACATGGGAAGACTATAGTTTACATGTAAGTGTATTTTAGGCACTGTTTTTCATACTATTTTATGATAAAATGTCTTTGCATTTTGAACAAAAAAATACTAGTTCCTTTATCAGAAATCTCCTCTTAGGCGAATTTTTTTGTTTGCTTGGGCATTGGAGGTGTTTTTTCTTTTTCTCATTATGTGGAACACAGTTCCTAAGGTAGTTCTGTACAGGTTGAGGTTTTATATAAAATACAGGCAAGATAAAAATCTGTTGAGCTGCTTTCCAGGCCTGATTTCCAACGTGATCTCCTGCTGGTGAAGGCTCTGAAGGAGTTAAAGCCCTGTCTGGAGCCCAGAAGACAGATGAGAGCCATTTCCAGCTTGTCCTGTCCCCACTGACGCTCGCTGAGTAGCACAGCATGGACCAGCGTGTTTCACACACGCTCTGCCTGTCTGGGGATGTACACATTGTCCTTCCAAAATCAAACTTATTAGCACATGTAGAAAAGGGTGACTGGCTTTGGGGCAGCCTGGCACTCCATGTTGTATTCTTGCTGCTGCGGTTCAAAGATTTAGAAGGTTTTGAACAGGATGAGAACATTTTAAATTGAATTTTAGTTTGTAACCCTGCTTACCTTAGTACTTGCTTGTACTTTAAATGTCAAGTTAGAACCTTGTCTTAAAATAAATTTAAATTCAATAGTATTTTTTTTTTAAAGTTGCTCATCCTCTGAGTTATGTTTTTCTGCATAAAAATCTCCTTTGGATGCCTTGAATTGTAGAGTTTGATATGTAGAGTTTTTGAACACTGTTAGTGTTTTTGAGACATTATCAAATGAACATAGGTTCTAATTTATGTAAACTGTTTAGAGATCAGTTACAATACTCAAATTAAGACTTTTTTTCTTCAAAATAACTTTTCCCATGGGCTATCTTATGCAAGATAAAATAGTGTGTATTCTGTTCCCTTAAATACCATTATATTATAATGCAGATAAGTTTTAATAGTTTTTATTTTGTCATATTTTGACAATTACATGCTTGAGCTATATTGTATAATGTCCATTTTGCCATGGATACACTCATTATTTTAATGGTATTATTTTTAAAAAGTTTTAAGTTACCCTATGTTGTTTAGTAGTACTATTTGTATTGTACGTATATGCAGAAAAATTATTTTCAGGAATTTTAAATGTTATAGAAAACAAAGATAGGTTAAATTTTTGTACTTTAGAAAGGAATATTCATAAAAATTAAAATGCTCGTATATTTAAAGTCTTTAAAATTATTTTCTACCTAGTGTAATATATTTGATAAACTCACTACTATGTAACTTTATCAGTTTCATTGAAACGTTTTACAGATGGCTGCATTACAGAGTCCTTTCTATGGTGACAAAATGAATTTATACTCACTGTGTAAGAAGATAGAACAGTGTGACTATCCACCTCTTCCTTCAGATCACTATTCAGAGGAAGTAAGTAATTTTCAGTCCATGTCTTTGCCTGTTTTAATAAGGAATTTTACTTTATCCAAAAATACAAATGAGTAGCGTAGGAGGAGAATTCACCTTTTTTATCCTGTTTTTTTGTTATCCTGAGATTTGCTATTTAAAGAGTTGACTGCAGTTCGTGATGTATAGTAAATACAACACTGTGTGTGGTATAAGATTGACCACTTCCTAGGTATGATAAGAATAGTAGCTGACTTTCTATTGGATGAACACAGAGAAGAAAATTAAAGCAAAAGAAAACCCAGGCTATAGTTAACATATCTGGTGGCCTCTTAATGGGTTAACTCCTTATTCTCACTGTCTCAGATCTACAAACAAATTTCTGTTTTGGTACAGTTTCCCCCATCCATGTTTTCCAAAAATTGAAATACATATCTCTTAGCTGTATATCTCTGAATTGTGTTTTTCAAGCTTTACTTTTTCTCCTTTGACAATAGCTGTCCTATTCCCATCTCACTGCTACACAGTCATATTCTTTTGGGGAAGTGTTTTTAGGTTATCATTGTAGAAAAGTGTACTGGATAGGGTTCAAAATTTTTAGAGACATTACCTCAAGATCTGAATCCTTTCCTGCCTTCATAATTCATTAAAATGAATTGTTTTGGCTCCATCCAACATTCACTGAACAATGTATCTCCTTTTTGGCGTAATACATTATGATTTTTCCAGTATTAAAAGAGGAAGCATGTAGAGTAGCAGTTTCTAAGGTCACAAAATATGTGTTCACATAGGCTTTTTCTTTGACTGGTCATTGGGGACCTACCCAGAGAGAGCACTGTCTTGCATCTCACCTCATGAGCAACTGATTTTTTGCCCCAGGAAAATGGAAAGGAGCAAAAGAAAAGTATAAAACAATTAGAATGTTCACTTATTAGATAATCATGTCAGTCTTTCTATTATGGAATGAACAACCAATCTTAGTATTATATAAGGAAACTTGAATCCATATAATTTAAATAATCTCTCTAAAGAATGTTTTACTACCTGTAAAACATTTGTGTTCCTAGAATGAAATAAGTACATTTTCTTCTAATAATTTTGATGCTAATGATCATCGATACCTAGTTTTTTGCTTCACAGCATTTATATCATATAATTAGAATAAGCTCTTAAAAGGCTGTGATAATTTAGAAGTATTATCTTTATTTGATGTTAATGCTCTTATGTTAGCCATTTTTAATTACTATTTTGGGTATAGAATATAAATATGGCATTTCGCAAAACCAACTTCAGAACTGTAGGCCTAGAAATACAGTAGGGTGTGAACAATAATGCAAAATGATAGCAAGAATGTCAGGGGCCTTTCTTTGTTGTGTCATTCATGCTGTCTTCTTTTTTCCATGAAGCACATGAATATTTCACATATCTGCATCCTCATCCTCTATTCTTCTTGACTAATTTTCAGACTGTCTAAATTTGCATTTCACATGGTAGCTGATTAGGAGATGCCGAGTGCAGCAGTGAAGCCTCAGCAGGCGGTTACCATGGTGACCTTCAGCAGGATTTTAATGATGATACCACTAGTGGTTCGTTGAAGTCGGCCTGCCTGCAGGGCTACTTCACTGCAGCTAAGTGTGAAGTTGGATATGTGGATTCTCAGCCAAGGGGCAAATATCAAAGTCGGGCCCAGATAGGTCTTCGAGTTGGGAGAGGAAAATAAGATTCCACTTTTTACTTCACTGTGTATAGTTACCAGTTTTGAGACGAGCTATAAAGCAAAACATGTTGTGTGATGTACTTGCCAAAAAACAGGACAATTCCTCATATTGGTAAAATCTGTCATGTCCTAATGAAATAGTAAGCTGTAATATCTAAGTATGGAAAATAATTCTTACTAAAGAAATGAATATGAAAATTATGCAGCCTATATAAAAATCTTACATTAATCTGATGAGTTATGTAGGAATGTCTCAAGAGTTTTGAAATGCAGATGTGCTAATAAATATTTTCTCTCTTTAAGTAGGAATCAATTTGTTTGTAAAATTATTATTCAGAATTTACAGTCAAATAAAGCCTAATCGTTTTGGTGCTGCCATAATAATAACCTTAAATATTTCATTGTCAAGTAGCCATTACAGATATTTTAAAAATCCAAATTACTCTTTGTTAGTGTAGCAAAATATAGGGACTGATAAAAAATCAAACACAAAGTTTTTCAATAGTGAACTTTTAAAACCCTACTTATTAAGTGTAATTTTATAAGTAAAATAGGCCCAAAAAATAAAATTTAAGCAAATTAGTTTATCAGATGTATATCTGAGAACTTCCAAATTTATCTAGCTGCTGCTACATTTTTAAGGCTACTTTCCAAAAAAGACTTGAAGGGAACATTCTGTGAGACTGCCAGCTACACTTGCCAACCAGCCTCAATTGTTAGGAATTTTAAGGAACTCTGCAAGATTTATTTCTAGATATAATCATTGCATATAGAAGAACTCAGTTTAAAAGGCTGCAGTTTTTAAATTTCCTGTTACAGTATAAAACATAGGTATCATTAAGCATTCTAAGAATCAAAGCTGAAAAGTAGTATTTTTTTAGAAAAGTGTATCCATCAAATGTTTCCTTTTGAATTATGGTATTACACACATAACTAGGGTTCTAGATTGAAATTTTAGCTACACATGAATGATATTAGGAGTTATTTTGTGGTTTCTGAGATAGTCTTGCTTATGATAATTTTATTTAGTGTTCCTTAGTGTTTTTGTCAATAATGGTCTCATCCATGTAGTGGGGAAAGTACTTAACAAAAATCTTGTGTTGAAAAAAGATGCCTTCTCTTAGATAACTCCTAGTTTACAAGTGATGATGGTGGTAGTAAAACAAATACTTATTGAGCATTTTCTGTATGTAAGAAGATATGATTCAAATGGCTGCTCATGGCCTGACCTAAGCTGCTCTCTCAGGTCTTGTGAGGCACTATGCTTCTTTCACAACCTCTGCAAGAAATTTTCTGTATTTTCATGTTTTCAGAGATGTTGTTTCCCCTTTCTGAACTACTTATTACCCTGTTCTGTTTCAGGCAAATTTATTGTAATTATTTGTTGCCATTTCTTGCATAGTTTTTCCTGCTCACTTCTTTCCCCTCTTCTACTTGGTCAAAAATGGTAGCTGCTTGTTTTCATACGTTTCCCTCATGATACTGTCAAACTTTTGTTCCCCGAAGCAGTAACTGCTTTTTATCCGGATCTCTGTGATCTGACAGCTTTTTAAAGTTTGGTGATTGATTGATTGATTGATTGATTGAGAAATTTAAAAACAGAATTACAACCCAACCAATGACAGCAAATAAGAGAAATTTCTGTAAAGAACTGTCTTTGTAAATCAAAGAACTTCTCAAAAGATAGACTAGAAAATATGATTTGTTTTCATTGATACTAGTCCCTCAGTGTTTTTTTTCATTCTTTTACATAAGCACCTTCATCTCCAAAATGCTCAGTGGCCATTTAGTGGGAAATACAAAAGATTTTCCTTCAGTTTCAGTTTTCAGTTACTTTGAGAGACATTGGAATAGAATGGTCATCAAAATTGTGAGTTTTTTTCAGTGCATCATCTCAGATTTTAGTATAAGAAATAGTGAATGTGTGCTAATTAGAAAATGATAAAAAGAGTTAATTTTAACTGATTCTTACAAATCTGAGCATTAATATCATACAGAAAATTTGTTATCAAAAATTAAATTTAAATAGAAAAGACATAGCAACAATTGAGTAGAATTGGACCTCAGTGTTGCTTTTCGATTTCATTACAACTTTAAACAAAAAATACACAATTTCATATACCATGTCCAAACCAAAATAAGATTTAGAAATCAGTAATTAATTTGTGATCAGTTTTTATATTTTTTACTTTAAATATCCATCCAGTTTGTAGTTTTAGACCTCCAACCCACAGATAGAAAATATTTGTTATGCTAAATGTAATTATTGGGACTATGTCTCAGATCTAAAAATTATAAAGTATCAACCTGAAAGATCACCCCAGAGAATAAAAAATTAATGAAATAAGCAAACTTATTACCTACTTTGCTATAACCTTTTTTTATTTTTGCTTTCTTTTTTCTACTTCAACAGTCCCTTCTCTTTTTTTCCCCCTTAGAGAAAGGGAAAGTGGGAGAATACAGTTTTTCTTTCTCTCCTGGCCTTTCCAGGAATAACCAGGAATAGTTTAGCAGAGGAGGCTAATAGCACTTTCCCTGCTCCTTCACTCAAATGTGTAAGAAATAGCAGTATTTTTTATTGTTCTTGAGATTAAAAGTCTTGATTTTCCAGATTATTTAAAATACCATGATTTAATACAATTATTTATTTAATACAGTCATTAAAAAGTAGTTTTATCCTGTGGTCGGTTATATATGAATAATTATAATAAATTTTGAATTTCAATTAAACTAATTTCAGTTGTGTTTATGTGGCTTTGGTAAAATGAAGAATGTTTTCAACTTTCAAAATCACCATTTTCTTTAATCTGTATAACAGCTTTTTGGTAAGGACAGTGGCCTTATTCTCGTGTTACATACGAGCAGTGGAAATCCTGATGGTGTTGAGACTGCAGGGGGCTTCCCTGTGCTAGACTGCAGGAGCTTCCACTTCATGGCCTACCCCTACTTCACTACAGAGCCACATAGCCAGAGTAATTTACTCATGTGCGGATGACTGAGCTTGTCAGGATTGCTGTAGATTTTCAGGTTGTGTATTTCTCCTCTTGCTCCTGACCCTTTCCCTTGCCATGTTTATTTGGAATCTACCCCCATAGAAGGCACCATTAGGCATTTAACTCAGAGCACTCTTCTGACTAGTAGTAACTCAGGGCATTGTAGTATTAAAAGGAAGGGATAAGGAAATTGTAAGGTGGGCATTATTTTTGCATATTAGATTATGTACATTTACTCTTTATGTAAATTTACTGCATACATTAAGATATCAGATGGATTGGTTTATAACATGGTGAACAAAAACTGTTATGTG